CTAAGTATGTGGGGGGTGGTCAGAGGCGTTGCATGGCATCTCAAACGTGGGCCAGTGGAATAGCAAAATGACAACCATTGTAGCCTTAATCAGTCATAGCGGAATAACACCGACCAGGTAATTTGAGATTATGTTTGATACATGGATAAAGTTTGGTGTACATAAGGGTGTTCATACACTCATGTTAAGCACAACCCTTGACTCATAGGATTAGATATCATCTTACAATTCTAAATTCATTATGTAGACTTGATAGAGTAATATTTTCTAAATTTGTAGGCTGTGTCGACCGAAGCAAGAGCAATGTACAATCTAGGAAATATTGAACTGATATTCTGGGTTCCTAACATTAATGTAATCGAGATCCTCGATTGGGACTAGCTTTAGAGACAATTGGTGAAGATCCATTTGCTGTTGGAACATATGCAGCCCACTATGTTAGAGGTTTGTAGGGTGTTGAAGCGATAGAAATTACCGATGAATGATGATCCTAACTCCAAGCAATATGCGGCTTATGATGTCGATAATTGGCTTGGAATTGATCGCATCCATTACAATTTGCAGGTAAACTAAACTTCTTGCGTATTATTTGTACTTACGTTCAATCTTTTTCTCATTTATGTGTGAAGATAGCTGAACAAGTCAAGTGGGAGACTTTCCAAAAACCCAAAATGTGTGTGTTGACCCCAAAAAGTGTTGCCAACAAATGTCGGTCCCACCCGTGCACACGTGGACGAATGTCCAACACGTCTAGACATGTGGACGGTCTAAAACGAGCGGTTCAAAGGGCGTGGGAGTAGCCCAACGACACGGGACGGTGAGGTTCGGAATCTGGCGGGTTGTTCGTGATCCGATTGTACAATAATTATCAACCGATGTTCATAAATGTATATGTAAATGTGTATAAACTTGATTTGTGTATTGCAAGTAAATGAGAGAGGGTTGAGTAAAGTGTAGTTCTTTGTATTGATTCTTGCATTAGCCTTTTGATGTTATACAAGGGAAGTATTTATAGTGATACATGTGAAATGGGAGCCCTTGGATGAGGTGGCAAGTGGCCTCATCTCTTTGATTCAAACATCTTATCCTAGGCATGGGGCTTGACTTGCTAACTTGCTGCGCATTTATTACTTGTGCAGAGCCTCCATACTAGTGACAAGACTTGACCTTTATGCTTATAACAAACGTTCTATCAATCATTCGAATAAGATCTTTGTACAGACGATCTCTTGGGAGAAGTGACCATGGAGGATGCTCCCTTGTGGTTTCGAGGCTCCTGTATCAGTTTCGGGGTTTCGGCCATTTCATACAATACTTCCACTTGAGGGCTTCAGCTAACTTCAACCAACTTCAGTATCATGGCTTCGACTCGTAGGCCTCAGCATGTGGACCTCGGTTATATTCACAGGCCTCGGTAAAAGGAGCCTCGGCTAACGGGCTTCGGCTTGAAGGGCTTCGGCCATAGCCCTTGGTTGGAGTGCCACATGGTTCGCCTTGAGTGGGTCATTGGCCCAAATAGGTTGGCCAAGTATGACAACACGCAACAGTGTGTGTGAAAAGACAGAGATGTTGGGACAAATTGTTGAGCATACAATTGACGAGTTCCAGCACTGTTGAACTAAACTGATGCCACTTTCAAAGCCCCATATCCAGCAATCCTAACACAAGACTTGCAACAACCTAGCATTCGAGGTCGAGGTGTCAAATAACTGAACAGTTGACAACATTGAAGTTTTAATATTGTACTGGGTTTCTCCAAAGGATCTTGCAACATGTGCATTAAATGTTACATAATGTTACGTGACATTCTATTATTTGCAAATTTAAAATACAATCCACTTTTTTATTCAATTTTTTTTTTCTACATCATATTATGTAATCCTTTATATATATTTTTGATGTACAAATAGCAAAGTCGTTCGGCAAAGGGAATACTAGATGGTCCCATTGAGCAGTTACTTTGGTTCCAGAAGGTTTTGTGCCTGCAGGAGGAACCAAAAGTGACTTTTAATTGAATGCTGCAAGAGTTTGGGGCTTGTTAACCACAGAGGATACCATCTGGTGGACACAGTATTGTGATAGGAGATACTTTGCTGTCATTCGCAGTTGCTATCAACTTTGAACAAGCTAATTATTTTTTGGGATTCTTAATTGTGTACTAATATAATAATCCTAAAAAAAGAAGAAGTCGTACAATAAAAAAACAAAAGAAAAAATGCTGTTTATAAGAGATAATGTTCCCTTGAACATGAGAAGGCTGATTTGGAGTGGTGCTGTCACAACTCACAAGCGTGCTTTTGGGCACGCGCATCAGAGCCACTTCAAAACACGAAGGACAGGACAGCATATTTGAAAAAGATTGTATTGCAAAGAAAAAAGGGGATGCATTAAATTTAATTTTTAAGCCAGTCACATTGCACGAAATATAATTCCACGGTCCCCATTAAAATGTTCCTTATTGCATGAAGGTAATCACTTGTCACAGTCAATATATAACTTATTATTGGAACGAATTGTTTTATCTTAAAAATAAAAATAAAGGTTGAACCTCAACTTGAGGGTCCTCACCGTTCTGTCCCTAGAGCTTTGTGAAAGAGGTAAATCGCGGGATGTGCCCCAACAAGTCAGGAAACAAAAGCTGCCTGTATACTGCACCTACAAGGAGTCCAATTCCATGTCTCAAGAATCGAATCTCCACACTGTGGCTGCCATCAAGGCGTGAGATAACCTCATTCCTGTCCTTTGCACCACTAGACTACGTCCCGAGGGCTAAATCGTTTTATCTTATTTTAATTAAGACATGTTGTCACATCTAAGTATAGTACGTTTGAGGATTGATTGTTCAATTGAAAAAATAAAAATAAAAATGTGAAATTTGATCGAGTTACATGTAAAATTTTGTATATGAAATGACCTCAATCTGAGAAATAGGCCAGTCCATGGAAGAAGATTTTTTTTTCTTTTTTTACTGTTCTGTTTGGTGTACACTTTTTTACCTTCTCTAAGTCGATTTTCATATCGGTTTTTGAAATGTTGACAAAAATCAAATTGGATTGATAATTAATTAAATGATCACTAATTTAGTGCTGATTCGGTAATTTTATTATTATTTTTTGGTTAAAAAGATTATCAAGCTTTATTTTAATCACACATTTTATTTATTTTTTCAGCATACATTTCATAAGATCCATAAACTTTTATCAATTTTTGGTAACATCACAAAGTTATTATTATTATTAGTAGTAGTAGTAGTAGATTGCAGGTGTTGTTCGGTTAGTTTATAAATATTTGTTGAGCAGCTTAAGCTCTTGTTTGACCCTCGTTATAGTAAGGATTTGAGAAAATGTATTTTTGAATAGTAATTTTTTAGAGAATATATGGTAAAAAAAGAAAAAGAAAACTTTTGAGTTTATGTGTATTATTGTTCTATTGAAAAATGTGTGATTGATAAAAAAAAATAAAAAAATGAATTATAATTTTAATATAGGTCAAACAAGAGCTAAAATGTAGCACTACTGGAGTGCGTAGGTAGCTAGGTCATTGACTTTTGATAAATACACATTATCCTAATGTAGGACTTATTTTAAAGAAATTGACTAATGAAGATATCATTCAAATAGATTACAGAAGCATGAATCAATGTGATGGATCGAGAACTTAATAGTTTTACAATGTTTTCATTATTACAATACCAAGGGAAAACTATATACCATTTTCCATTTTATTTTTTTAAAATTCAACATTATAACATTAAATAAGAAAAGCATGATGTTGCAACCTTTCAAAATGCTATTGAATTACTTTGCTATAAATTTTATCTTTGCTCAATACATACAATGAAAATTTTAAACTCTTAGTCCACATAATTAAATTATTTCTCTACATTTACGTGTAATTCATTATCTCGCACACTCCATCAATTGAAATTTCCACAAAAAAAAAATAAAAAAAAATGACATTAAAGTACCTCTTAACTCAATTTTGAAAAGTATTACGTCCTCGTTTGAGATGTGTACGGTTTTAGCTTGACCTTTTGGGAATAATATTTTCATAGCACTTTTAAATAGGGGCTTTGAATGTGTTGTTTAGTTTGCATTGCATTAATCGGCTTTGCATCATATTTTTAGATCCTCTAAATTTCGACTTTTCGCGAAAAAAATATATCTAATTACAAAAAAAATGACATTTTTCATATATTGAAGTTTCATAAATTGTGGGATGCCTCTAAAGTCTTAACTATTGACTTCGAGTTTTGAGAGACTATAAAGTCTTTCTAGAGTTTCTAGGTTCTAAAACTATATAATATTAATGTCAAAATAACATTGGATAAGAGTAAGATAAGATGCCCAATAATTAATTAAAAAATGAATATTGTTAATTAGGTCTGTTTGGGAGTGATTTTGAGAATTTATTTTTTGACTGTTAGGAAAAAAGTGGGGTCCACCAGTGAGAGAAAAAATCAAATATGACGACTGAAATAATGAAATAACGGTCAAAAAATTAATTTTTTGAATGAAAAAAATCGCTCCCAAACATACTAGTAAACAGCGTAGGAATTTTTTAACTGAAAAGATTGGACTGACATTAATAAAGTAGTAAAATAAATAAAATAAAAATTCTGAAAAGTGCATTTACCCAAGAGAAAGATTACGATTTCCAACAGTAGATACGCATTTTGTCAAACTTACCTATTTTTTTCTTCACGCGTGGTCTCTCATTCAACGGCCAAGAACCCATCCGCATTTCCCGGAAAGTGTCCTCCTATCCCCAATCCAACGGTTCTAATTCCCCGCCTTTGACTACCCGCACATTTCCCCCTATTAACCCACGCTGTTACTGCGTTAAATCGACTCTACCATTTATTTCACCCTCTTTGTTGTTTTATTTTTCAAGAAAACAAAAGTTCTTCCTCATCCTGAAGCTTCTCACAAGAGACATATTAGTTAATACTTCAGTTTCTTTTCTTTTGGGTATCTTCAAATTTCTCTATTTTATCGTTTATATTTATTTTATGGATATGATTTTTCTTATGGAACGTGATTCTGAATTTCCCAGCGTATTTGTGTGTGTACAAAATTATGAATCTTGGATGATTATTGAATATTATACTGTTGATATTTATGCGTGTGGGTTACTTTATTTTTTCTTGCTGAGAAGATTATTTTTTGATTTGATTTTATTGCATTCTTCCTTTTTTTTTTCTGCCAATCTCAAGCTTTTTGTTTTTTATTGATTTCTTGTAAATTTTCTTTATGGGTATCGTTTTCTTTTGATGTGATTGCGAATTTAAACATGTCTACTGTATCTGAGAGTTTGTGTGCTAAAAAAATTATGAACCTCTATTGACCATGAACATTACGCTGCTGAGATTTATGTACGAGGGTTATTTTAGTTTGTTATTGAAGAAAACGAACAGGTTTTGATAGTTTTTATTGCTGATATGTGAATATTGGTGCTTATTTTTGTGGGTTTTGCGTTTGATTTTACATGGAGAGTTTCTGATATGTAAATGTCCGTGCATTATTATAAATTCATGGTTTGAGATTTTTGTTAGTATTCTCGATCTGTCATTTTTTTTTGAATAAATATCTTTGTGATTGAAATTTTATTATCTGCATTTCTTGGTTTATGAGTTCCGTATTTCCCCGAAATCTGTTTTGATGTTGCCTTGAGAATTAACTTATTCTAAGATTATTCTGTGTGTATGTATGTAGCCTTTGTAGTAAGTATTTTTTTTTTCATTCCAAAAGGCTAGCTATTTGGTTTCTGATATTTCTTTGTGCAAATATTAATTTGTGGTTTCCAATTTTTTCTCTTCAGAATAGGTTTAGGTTGAATCTTATACAAATTTGGGCTGAAGAAGTGATAAACATGTCTTGGGCTTCTCGTTATTGTGGAAAGTGTGTGCGATTGGTAGCATTCTTTTGGGTTATCCTGTAATTTGATTTCATTTGGTGAGATTTCTCCCTCCTCCTCTCTCTATATGTAAATCACTCTTTTTGTGTATGAATGTATATAGGACCGTGCTATACGTACATATTGGTTAACCTAACCATTTACCTACTATTCACATTATTTGGGTAGGACCTCGGTTCGGATTATTAAATAACACATGGGGCCCACATGTTTGTGAGGGGGGTGTAAACGGTTCGGTACACCCCCTCGGTACAAATGGTTTATTCCAATGTTTATATCACTATTCATTTGAGTATTTTCTTGGAAAAATTTGGATATTGATAATAACAACATATTTTCCATACAAAATCCTTTGTAACTACTCACCAACTACAAACTAACGTTATCCTAATGAAAAAATGTTTCAAGAGTTAGGTAAAGACACAAGTTTGTGCAAGATTACACGCTCATGTATAGCTGTCTTCATGTATTTAGATTTTGTATTCATCAAAGATCAATTGAAATTTGGAGGAAATTGTTTCCAAATTCAATTCCAAGGCTCCAATTTCATGCTTCTGAATGTAACCTGACAATTTTTGGGAAATTAGGGAAAAAAAAAAATAATAAATGAAATTTTCATTGTGATTGAGTTGAAGTCCTACAACATGATATTTTATGTTGAAATAAATTCCTATTACTTTGATTTTTCGCATTAACTGGAGGCTGGATTTTAAAATTCTATGTTTTTTCCCCTTTAAATGTCTCAAAAACTATTCTAAGATTGGGAACATTTTGCAGGTGCATCTTGTCCAGTGGTAAAATTTCCATTGATTTATTTCGTGTTTTTATCTAAAATTGGAAGGAGTAGCAAGAATGTACATTGCAATTTCCCAAAAGAAACATCGTAAAGTAAAGGAAGTTGGAAAATTTGAAATGACTGTTGGAGCTATTGCTTTCTACCAATTGATGCAAGTTTGTCAGGTGAGTGTGCTTCTTATATGCAGTAATTATGTTGTACAATTAGCTTGCTTTAATCTTCAGTCTGATATCTAATCTATGAAGCATCGATACGGACACATGTGTCCGACACGATACGTGTCGGATACGTCGATTCGTGATTTTTCAAAAAAGTACCGACACGACACGTCGTCATCACGTTGATTAAATTCTTTAAAATTTTTCATTTATATAATATAAATTTAGTTTTATACTTATTATTAATTTTTCTTGTTGAAATCTTTTAAATATGAGTGCTTATTTGTTATTTACTAATAATTTTGAGTTAAAAATATATAATAGCAGTAGTAAGAAAGAAAAATGATTATTGTAAAGTGTTCGGAGAGTGTCGGTATCGACGCGTGTCGGACACAGATACGTTACTCTAGTTAGAGTATCCGTGTTACATAGTATCTAATTAATTTCAGTAATGCTGAACTTATCTCAAGTCATTTGGCCCCTTTTATTTATTTATTTATTTATTTTTAACTCAGATTCTTTCTTCTATAAATTTGGAAATTTGATTTCTTTTCTTTTTTCATAAGCTACATTACATCTGATTTTTTGGATGGATTCATGGGGTAGTGTGTATCTCTCTTATTTGGCTGTTTTAGTTTAAAGATAATAATGGTTAGCTAGTTCATTGACTTATTTTGCTTTACAGGCTGAATATTTCCGTCAGTTGCTTAAACCTGTTACGTAGTCCTGTACGGTGATAAGCTTGTAAGACTGGAATTGGTGGCCTTTTCCTTTCTCTGTGTTGAAATTTTTTGAAGTGGCATTGAACGCAAAAACTATTGATTGGACTAGACAGCTCTCTTTCACTAAGCCGTATACGCCTTAGGTGTACCACAAACATCTTTTTTGTTAGTTTATTCCCCTAAAACTTTTGGCAATTTGAAATCGAAGAGAACCCTTTTGAAAGCTGCAGATTTGTATATCACTGAAGTTGTTTTCTGTTCCCAATGCATAGTGACGGAAAATATTTCCCTCAAAATCCTGTCCTTCCTCTTCCCAATCAAGTGGGCAGTTACTACATGAGCAAAGCTCATATTCAATCCATTTTTGGTGGAACAATTCTGCCCTCGGGTATAAAACCTTCTAGGCCCTTCCATGTTGTTGACTTTCTGACCTCTGATGCATGCCCGAGGAATTTCGTAATCTTTGACAAAACAAAAAATAGAAGCCAAATCATGTTCCATCCTGAGATTGGTTCAAAGTATCCTCATCCTGATTATGGTGTTGGCATGTCTAACTGCCTAGACAATATTGGTTGGAAGGACAAGGAAGACAGAGAAATAACTTCTTTCACAGAAGATTCATATGATATTGATGCTCTATTGAGCACAGAATATGAAAATGAGGAGTATGATGAAGATAAGCTGAGCACAGGACGAACCGATGCAAACTATGGAAGCGAATCCTTGGATTCATGTTCTAATTACGAATCTCTGTCTAGAAAGAGGAGGTCACCTCCTTCCGAGAAGTCTTCTGAGGACAAGAAACGTCAGAAAATGAGGAAAATGGTGAAGGCATTGAGAGGTATTGTTCCGGGTGCCAACCAGATGAGTACTGTAGCTGTTCTTGATGAAGCTGTTAGGTACCTGAAGTCTCTCAGGGTAGAAGTGCAGGAGACGGGAGTTGGAAATTTGACAAAATATGCTTGAAAAGTATCCCCTACAGCAACAAAGATTGTAGTTCACCAGATCAGTTATCCATTGTCAGTTTCGTAAAGCCTTGAACTTTGAGATGATGTACCTGACAAAGTTTGGGAGCTCGTAGATCCTCCTGAAGCCTCCCTCTCTCCGCCTCCCTCTCTCTCACTCTCTCCAAGTTTGTTACAAGAAGTTATCTTGTATCTGCATGTCTGTTTGTAGTAAAAGTTCAATAGTGCTAGGTTCCCGTGGACATTCTGGCCTCAATGGTCTTCTTTGTAGGTGAACAGAATGAATGGCAAATGTCCCCCCGGGTATTATGTACTATAGTTAATTAGTATTAGTCTTAATCTGTTTCCATTTGTGTACTATCTCCAGTTTCTTACTTGGTTTGTATTTAATCTATGTCGAACTCTAAAAATAGTTGAGTAATTGTGTTTTCTCTTTCCTTGCTTTATGGCCTTACTTTTTATAAACAGCTATATTTGACACAACACGCATGCAAAAATGACCCAGTCCAGGCTTTCTCATAACGTTTCAAAAGCTTCTGTATAGTGGCAAATGAACTTGAGTATGAGAATGAGCTATCAGCACAGAGAGAGAGAGAGAGAGAGAGAGAGAGAGTATACATACAATTTCCATTCTATGGATTGATTATATGGTGAAATTGCAACCTTTTCATTTGGAATTTGAAACTACACTCTTGGACGAGTTTGTTTTACTGTGCTTAAAACTCGCTTTCTATGGGAACTGGTTTATACATTTCCAATATTTGTGTCTTTGCACGCTGTTAAACATTAAAGTGAAGAGGCTTTTCATAAATTTTAGCCCTTGCATTCTTAGAGGGTGTTTGGGAGATATTTTTATGTAAAATATATTTTTGAATAGTAAATTGATGGAAAATTTATGGTTGAAAAATAAAGAAAAGTTTTTGATTTATGTATAATATTATTTTAATGAAGAATGTGTGGTTGAAAAGAAGAGAGAAAAATACATTTTGAAAAAAATGGGTACCAAATGGAATCTTAATTCTTAGATCCGTGCCCCCGATAGTATCCTTGTAACATAAATATTCATCAAAAATAAAATGAATTGGGCATACTGCTAATTAAGGACTTTCATTTGTAATTTTTGAACTTGTTCCCGTGGAAAAGTTTGGTAGAATTTATAAACTATTTAAATTAAGATGAATAGTGAGTATTATATGTGGATCCTCAAAGTGTGTCGATAAAAAAGTTAGTTTTATCATTTATGAACAATTTGAAATCATCAGTTGACGTACAATTTTTATCAAAATATACTAAAAATCTGATTTTTAATCAAATCAAATGCAGCGATATCTCGTGCTTTCATAGCACTTCCATTAGAAAGAATTGAAAAGGCCTTCCTATATAGCAGCCTGCTCTGGCCCAAAAGATCGAAATGGCCTGCTAGACAGTATCCTTATTTTCACTCAATTTTCCCATATACGGAATTGGGTTGCACCTGTCAACCCTACAACCCACTTATACACGCTTTTTACTGGTAAAAGCGGTTGCACAAAGGAAACTGAAGACACGTTTTCCTCTTTCTTGATAATAAATCTGTATTTTTTTTTTTTTTTTAACCCAGATGATATCAAAGACTTGTCGAGTTTTGAATCAAATTGAAGGAAGTTCGCAGTGTTTCAAGGGGGAAGCAATGGATCTAAGATCCATATCATATTAGAATCAAAAGTATATATCAACTCAACTCAATTTTATGATTATCAATATGTACTTGTAAATTCTTGTTTTAAGATATTTGTAGAAAGGCTGGACCATTAAAAAAATCGATATTCAAATTGATAATCAGCTCCTATTAGGGCTTATGTCATTTGGTTTTTGCTAATGATTTGTGTCATGTAACATAGGAGGCTGAACTACTAAAAACTTCTTGCAATGGATTATAGCAATGGCCGTTTCTTGTCCAGTATGGATTTTCCAATTGTTTTCCCCCTACTGGTTGTTGGTACCATCACATTAATTATACTTCGGGTTATTTACATTATATACCGAAGCAGCAAACCGGTTTATTCTAGGTCACCAGGACCCCTCAGTACACTTATTATTCTGGGCTCAGGTATGGAAATTCGCTTGTTTCTTTATTTTTCATGTTTAAAGTTTGATTCCAGTCTTCAAATAGAAGTTGGTTGAACAATTAAATTTGTTCACTTATCTTCCAATTCAGTTCAGAGGCCCCAATTCTAGGCAACTGGAGACTGAATCTGAGAGTTTCTTTTTGAAGTTTTTTTATTCCATCATAAATTTTGGCCTTATTTGATCCTAATAATGTAGGTGGGCATACTGCAGAGATGCTAAATTTGTTAGCGGTTTTACAGAAAGAAAGGTTTAAGCCACGATATTATGTTGCTGCTGCAACTGATAATATGAGTCTTCAAAAGGCTCGCTTTTTCGAGGATTCCTTGGTGGATGAGGTATATCGCGTTCTATATTTCTTGGACTCTGATACTGTGTGGATCTAGGAGTCTCAGAGTTGTGAGAATTAAAACTTAGGAGTCAGTAATGGATGTCTGGGCAGGGAATTTATGGAATTTGCATGCTATTATTAGGATGCCTAAAGTTGTTCAACAAAAATTTGATAATGGAAAAAGCGAAAATAGTTCTATATCAAAAAAGTAATTTTTTTTAAACTGGAAAAAGGTATTATAGGTCAGTGGATGGATTATTTGCAAAAATCGCGATTTCTTCTTCTGGTTTATGGAATCCAAGAAACGGAGATTAATCTATCCTTGGATCTTGAACGAAAAATAATCACAGAAATTTTCGCACTTAAAGAACTCAAGTCAGAGTAAAATGGTTTGATCACAAAGGATCCATCCACGAGGTGCACTGGACTTCCTATTTAAGATTCTATGATACTAAGCTCTTTAGAGAAAAACTTTGCTATTCTTTATTGATTCTCACGAGTGAATTACAATGGAAGTACAAATGCTCTCTGTTTTCCACCTTACGGTTAGCAGCCTTTCAAGGTCAGGACTTTAAATGCAACAGAAAAGAATGAACCTTTATTGTACATCTTCGCATGAGTTTTATGTCGAGATGTCAGAACTAGCATTTTCAGTGCACATCTTGTTTTTTGTTAATTAGTTTTGATTTTATCTTAATAACTCATGTATTGGGAAGTCATGTTTGCATCTTAGGGATCTGTGGCTGCGATGAGTGTCATGTTGTACTGTACATGGGGACCATGTATAGAGTTGCATTGATTACTTTTGGCAAGTGCACATGATTTCATATCCCCCTTCAGCTTTGAAGTGTTAAGTTTGCTTTCAATTTGTAGATGCTTAGGAATTAATTGATGTTTCCTTTATGTCAAATTGCTGGAAATAGAAAGGTTCTCCATTTCCTTTAGGCAAATGACACATTGAACAAGTAATAAGAAAAAGAAAACAAGAAACTGGAAATGGAAAAATTTCTCTAGTGGGGAGAAGTTGCAAGAAAGAACTTGCACTTTGTTTCCTTGAAATAATTGTCAATTGGACCTGAATTTTATGTATTCTAAAAATGGGTTTCTTGTTTTAGGCAGGCATTGACGTAGTAGGAACTGCTCATTTCATGCAAATATATAGGAGCCGAGAGGTTGGTCAATCGTACATAACTTCTATTGGAACAACCTTGATTGCTATAGCGCATGCATTGTGGCTAATGGTTAGGATGCAGCCCCAAGTGGTATTGTACTGTCCTTTTTTGTTTCAAATTTTATTTCTTATCTATATCAATGCTCACTGCTACATTCTTTTCCCAGATTTTGTGCAATGGCCCTGGAACTTGTATACCCCTATGTGCAATTTCATTTCTTTTAAAGGTTTGGACTGTCCATTTTACTCCTTATTTCTTAAAGAGGCTATTGCACATTGCAAAATTTAATTCTCACATCGACTCCCTCAATGTTGGGAACAGCTCATGATGAATTTTATTTACAACTCAATTTAAAATGCCTCTTTCAGGTTTTCGGGATTAGGTGGTCATCAGTCTTCTATGTTGAGAGCATAGCTAGAGTGAAGAGGCTATCTTTGAGTGGATTGCTTCTTTACAAACTACAATTGGCTGATCAGTTGTTTGTGCAATGGCCGCAACTAAAATCGAAGTACCCTCGAACTAATTACGTGGGCCGTCTTATGTGAACTGGTTTCTTTTATGCACCCGCTGTTACGCTTGTCAAGCTAGCTCCTATTATCTATATCATAGCATAATATTTTACCCATGGAAAGTATTAATTATTTTCCAGAAGTTATTGACTCATCTAATAAAGATATATAATACTTTGAAACAGAAGTTTGGGTAGTCCTTGGAGCAATCTCCGTACCTTTTTTTGTTGTTGACCTGATTTGTGCAAAGTCTGCAATATTTTGTTATTTCTCAAATTGTTAATTTAATTACTGATATTACCAAAATTTCCCTGAAATATCCTTCTTCTTTGGTGTGCTTCTTCAGTTCCCAACACAAGGTATTAACATGGAGTTTAGACATCTTAAAATGTCAATCTTATTAACAAGAATAGCTCAAGTAGGTATATATTGAATATTGTCATCATCTTTAATCGACGTGGGATATTAAACCTTAACACTTATGTATATATCTTGATTGAACCTTGTAAATTCTACAAATGAAATGCTGTGAGAACAAGTGACCCAGGTTCCAGAAAATTAACTAATGACTCACTTTATATATAACAAAAAATGTTTTAGCAGGGTGGCGAACCAGGGGAGAAGGCCGCCACTCCTCAAGAATATTCAAGCAAAGCTTGGACACCTGTGTTATAAAAAAAAAAAAAAAATGTTTTAGCAACTAAAATGTAATTGTTTCTACATTTTCTCCTAATCCTTGATTCACAACATAGAAGGGATTTGGGGGGGAGAATTTGCAAAGGGAGGGGTAAAAAACGAATTAAGCTTGGAAGTCCACAGTCTTACAAATGTTACCCTCTTATGTGACTATTCTTTTTCTCTGTCAAAATCTGGACACATTCTGTGACTGAATTGCAGGAATTGTAAGGGGTATTCCACAAAATTGTTTGAAACATTAGCCACACGAACTTATGTCTGAAAGCAAGACCATCCTGTCCTATATTGTCCACGTATATTCCACTCTTATGTCCATCAAGAAATATTTTTACCGACGACTATCACTTCTGATATTCCATCCCTGGAGAAACCAAATTGTTCTTTTCAGAATTAAAAGCCATGTAGTATAAAGCATTATCGACATTAAGAGAAGGAATTTATCCGAAAATAGAATAGAACACACTATTAAAATATCAATGTCGCACTTCTGGCTTCTAAAATCAGCGAATTGTGCTGCGTGTGCAGTTTAAAGTAAATGGCATTAAAGAACTTACTGATTAATAAGGAATCTGAAGAAGAATGAACGAAATGCAATATAAACATGCAGAAATGGCTGCTCCGGCAACAAAATTGTTAAGTAGTTTTCGATTGTCTCTAGTGGGTATGAAAGCTGACTTCAACGTGTTGGTCAGTTCAAAAATCCGATATGATATCTGCAATGTTAAAAGAGGATAACAGATGAATTGCAGAAAAAATAAATAAATTACTCAGTAAACTTCATTTCAAAGATGGACAGACAGATTTACTCACCAAGATGTAAATGGAAGTCGTGAGCATGAAATTGAGCAGAGGATACTCTGGGATGAAAGAGAGTAGCCATTTGGGTTGTCCATTAGGCATATTTGATCTGTGCACATGAGATGGCTCAAGTCAAATTAGCTTTAATTGTATTTTCATATCGGTCAGACAATCATGAACATGTCTAATAGTTTAAAATTTTACGGATTCTCACATTCACCTTACAATATCATCCAGATAAATATAAGACGCGTCTGAGTTTTCAATTCATACACAAATGGAGATGATTGATGAAATATGCATCCCCAGGAAGTGTATTTAGATTAAAAGCCTGTTAGGGAATGATTTTTAAAAAAATATTTTTTCCCCACACTTATTTTCAACCACACATTTTATAGGACTTATAACCGTTTCCTATTTTTTAATCACACATTCTCCAAAAAAACATTTTTCACTTGGAAAAATCTCTGCAGATAAGCTCTAAGCCTACATGCACATACAGATGGTTGACATATGCAAGCATTACAGGTAAAATGACATCAGCGTTTCAAAAACTAGTATAAACAGCCAAAACAGAAAAAAGAGGTGCACCCACCTCAACCAGATGTGGAACTGGGAAATATATGTTTCCAAAGTAACTTTGCCAAGCCACCTGATAGCACAGAGCATTTGTACTATTAAAGTAACATGAAAATAATATTCCATGAATCTTCACAAAAAATAAACAATTCATGCAACTGAACGAGAAATTTAATTTAAATTACTTAAATGAAGAAACCAAACAAAAACTTACGCGAAAAGGGTCAAAGAAAAATTCCTGATATGCTGACTAAAATTCCTCAAACAAATATAAACGCTGTAGCAGAAAGAAGGCAAATAAGAAAGGAGACATATTAGATAAAAACTTTGGGAAGCACTGACTTGAAACACTGTTATGACTTTCTAATAGAAATTTCCATCCCCAATTAGAAAAAAGATGACATTGGAAATAAAACAACGGAAATGAAGAACTTGGGTTAAATTAAATCAAGACTCAATTTCAGTACACACGTAATGGGTATCCATGATGTGTAGGGATGAAACTTGTTGTATGTAACCTTGTCCATCTTGTATATACCTTCGTACCACAAATAGCCAACCTAAGAAAGAATAGCAAGAAATCAAATAAGAAATTAATAAGCTATTGTTTTATGATTTCTGTACAAGCAGATATCAGTTAACCAACAACTTTATAGTTTAACTTACAATCAAGGCAACCGCAACAATGGATGTTTTGATTGTGCGCCTACGCTTGGTTTCAGACTCCTCCAGTTTCTCCATCCACTTTTCAACCTGCAATGACAATCTCTCAAATTTTAATATTCAGTGCACCAGACATAACTGCAAAGGTTCAAAAGTTAGAGATAGTACTGTGGGGTGGAAATAGGCATAGATCATTCCTATGATCCATATGTAACGATCAAGCCCAGATCTAAAATGCCATTCATGCAGTCGAGGAATATCTGGCTTTGCGGGATCAGTATACCCTGTAGCCGTGAAAAAATGTGAGGCATTTAAAGATAAAATATTTATAGAAATAAACAAGTCGACTCTCTCTCTCTCTCTCTCTCTCACACACACACACACTCACACTCACAGAGAGAATGTTTCTACAGTCTTGAAGTTCCACAACAACTTCACGGCTCCTCACGAAAGGAAGAGAAGGGGTGTACGTTAGCATTTATATAAATTGAAGTGAGTAATCAAATTTTATTTTGGATGTTTCTAATGATACCTAACTGATTCCAAGGCTAACTATGGTGTAAAAGTACAATCCACCCACAGAAGGCAGAGAAACAAAAAGACAAAAGAAGAGTGTTCACTCTAAGTTCCTGATAAGCCACCCATACGTTTCACATATGAGAGGCGTCACAAGAGAGGAGCTGACTAGGAATTGTTATTTTTTTTAATCAATTGGATCTAGTGGGTCATTTGGGGAGGGAGTTAGTTATGCATGTGTCATGTTGGTTAGGAAAGAATAAAGAGGCACTTAAGTTTTACACCTTGCTGTTGTGTTAAGGATAAGACCAGATTATTTTTGAGTAGGTTCTATCAGTTCCTTAGTCTACCAAGTTAAAAGTGGCAAATAAATAAGATTTCAGGAATGTAATAAGGCTACATTTCTTACCTAAGAAAAATGTGAAAGGACTCCAGACAAGTTCAAAGACTCCAGGGATTTCCCATATCAAGATAACCACAATAAAGCACATAAAAAATTTCAAAGCCATCACTGATTTTATCTCGTTATAGTTGTGGCCAATACCAAGGGCCCCGTACACCATGAGTGTGAAGAGCGTGTGCATTGGGCAGATATAGTACAGCATGTAGTCATTGTTAAGAACAATACAACAGAAGGCCACAAAAAAGTTAAGCCTCCACATCATCTGCAAAAAGGAAACAATCTAGACTCAGAATCCTGATAGAGATTAAAACATGTGAAATGTACATCCAGATTCTGTTGTTTGGGGGACAAAGAAAAACAAAATGATGAAATATTTAGACTCACCTGAGTAAATCGAGCAAGACTAAAATCCTTCCTGATGTAATAATAGGAGAAATTTCCAAAACCAGTCATCCAGACATATGCAGCAATAAAAATACGAATTGCATTGTACATCTCAGTTGCAGCAAAGTAATGATACATCAAAAATAGAACCTGATGGGAACATGGAAAGAAAAGCATACAATCTCAGAAACTTTGCCGGTAGAGAGAAAACACTGGGCAGTAGCCAATATGGGCAATATATTATCAACTGCAGATATTCAGTATCAGCTGAGGGAAAGCAAAACAACAGAAAATGCCGAAAAGAATCCTAACTTCCACCCATAAAAAGAATGTCATAACAGGTCATGAGATAACTTAGAGCAAACAAACAAGAGTACACAAATAGGCAACGAAGGCATGTGTATACATTTTTCCTTTGTCCTGTTGAGTGGAATGGGGAAGGATGCTACGAAAGAAGCATCAGTATTAAAATTCTTCTCCTACCTATATCCTAAGCATTAACATAATACAGAAATGCTTTATGAAAAAATGCCTTGCCTGCATCCATCCTTTCCACTCTTCTGTCTGATGGCGATTAAGATACAATATGGCTTTTCCAGAAAAGGCTGACTTGTCATTGTGTTTCTTGAGAGAAGTCATTGCTGAAGCTATGATAAGAAGAATGTATAGGAAAAGGAAAAGATCACGATTGTAGCTCTGCTCAAGAGGGAAAAAAGCCACAAAATAAATTAGTATAAAGCATTTGAAACTCATATAATAATAAAAATTAGACAATATCTGTTAGGCATGAGATTGAAAAATAAATCTTACAGAAAAAAGAAAGAAACAATTGGACTCCGTGTGGTTAAATAGCGGGAAAAATTTGCTTTTACGTGCAAAATATTTTATTGTTTGAATTTGTAGTTGAAAATGAGTATGAGAGTTAAACAGTTTTGTTTTAAAGGGAGACAAACATGGGCTTAGTTATACTTCTAACACAAAGACCAGTATTTAGATATATCATTGGCAAAAAGATAATCCACCAAATGCTAACTAGTTACATGCATTGCTATTGCAACGTGTAGGTCTTGAATATAGATATGAAGAAAAGTATTTCACAGTGAATTTTCTACGGAAAGGTTCATAAATTCTGACTTTATAAAGAACTAAGAAAGAGAAAGAGCACCTTGGTGGAATCTTCAAAAAAATTTGTACGGTCACATGTGTAGAAATAGAACAGAATAACCCCTATTTCGGACCTACACAAAATCGTGATGTCAGTTATAAAAAGAATAAAATAGAATCTTTAAGAAACTACAATAAATAATATCATAAACTCACATAGCTCTTAATAGTGCTCGATTTTCGAGTAAAAATGAGTCCTCCATTGTAAGAAACCTAGAAGTCAAGAAGAGTATAAAGTAAGAAATATCATAAAAACACAAGTCAAAAAGAAATCAATAGATAGATGCTATAAGTTTAACAGCACATCAACCTAATTAAGTTGGTTTTAACGGATGGAGTGGACAACTTCGCAGATGCTGATTTTACAAGACCTCCTTCTAACAACACTGTCCTATCATCTTTTTTGATTGCTTCATTCTCCATCTCATCCAAATTATTATCTGAATGACTGCAGCCCAGAAAAGTAAAGCATAGAGTAAGGTGATGTATAATTTATAATCTTGTAATTTCACATTATCTTGAGTGCTTTTGGGACATAATGAAAGGGGTAAAGAGGCATGGGAACGGCCGGGTGACGCTCACACTTTAGACGGGGATGGTGACTTCTTATATTCCAACCACTCAGAGTAAATCCACGCAACAATGACTGGAATGATTCCAAGCAGAAATGACACCTGGGCATGAAAAGAAAAGGTTTCACCGTATGTATACTGCATGTAGTTTAAGAAAATAATAATGATATGTAAGCAGGGTATAAAAGATGAAAAGAAAATAAACTAAATAAGCAGACACTGTAGAAAATGACAAAGGTAATATATTGCTGGTGCACTTTACGGATCTTGCAAAAGACATTTTATCACAGAGGACTTTTGGAAGCCAAGGATTCAGTTAACCTTTTCCATTTTCTTTCCTGTTTGGAATGAAATTTCCATCCAACATATAAACATTAAGACATCTACAAGAGGCTAATAAAGCAAAAGAACTAAGCCCATGGTCATGGTGATCCATAGCTCTTTTTGGTATAATAACAAGCGCTCATATTAGATGATTTAATAGATTTTATATTTAGAGGGTGTTTGGTAGGAATTTTTATGTGAAAATGCATTTTTGAATAGTAAATTTATGGGAAATGTGTGGTTGAAAAATAAGAAAAAGTTTTTGATTTACGTGTAATATTATTTTAATAAAGAATGTGTGGTTGAAAAGAAGAGAGAGAAAAATGCATTTTGATAAAAATGGGTGCCAAACAGGGCCTTATTTGCATTTCACTGGGGAAGTCAACATTAGAGACAAAATCTGTTGATTTAGAAGTCCTATTGTAACTACCTACCAAAACCTCATTTACAACTAAAATTTGGGAGATAAATATATTAAAGAGAACTTTACTGTGTTGTCCGAAATCAGATGGCTTGTTTACTAGATTGGCCTTAACTTATGCTTTTTCTATTAACATTTGGATACATTCTCAACTTAAATAAGGTATCCTTCTCCGGGAATTAAGTACCCATTCAATCAGAACTTTTTTCAGAAATGTGAGCAAAGATAGCAACTTCCTAGGTCAGTGATGTAGCCCGAAGGTTCTAATCATTAATTACTTCTAAGTGAAATACATCATAGATTCTTTAATTGGAAATTATACTTAAATTTAGTTTCTTATATTTTAAACTAATTTTCAGTTGGAACGTCTTAAGAGCAGGCCGATTACTAAAAAACAGAATATGATTTGTACAAGATTCGTTGCACAACTAATTCCTCTAGAGTACTAGTTCTCTCTTCATCCACCCAAGTTCCTCGGTTTTTAGCTGTTCTATTTGAGGCAATGCTGTGATAAACTCAAGGTCAAATTTCATCCTTTAAGAACCATTTAAACGACATGCACCAGGTAAAAATAGCTGATAAATAGAATGTACCAACAAACGGTAAGCAATCAATTATAGTTCAGCCAAAATAATCACAATTATCACTAACTCGATTCAATAGTTAGCTAATCAAAACAACACCGATCAACTATAAACTCAGCTTTCACTGCTTTCATTTCAATTATTACATGATAGACACCCAATAGACATCTCATTACAATTTAAATAAAGACTAATCAAATTCAAGCCAGAAACAAAATTGATTTTCAAGAATTCAACTCCAAAGATCTAAAGGAAAATTGTATCAAATAATCAAGTAAACAGAAAATCAGTGCCCCCAACAACTTCACTTTCATCCGCATTGCAACAAAAAATCCGTAAATTAAAAAAAAAAAACACTTAAATGGAAAATATAAGCAGAAACCGAACCTGTCCAGGGGTCACAGGTCCGGGGGCCACCGCCATAACCTCAAATCCAATAAATCAACGATCCAAAAAATGTGAATCTAAAGAATTCTCATAGATCGACTGAATAAGCACCTTGAATAAGCACCTATGAAGTGCATATATTCACGCATATAGAATCGAACTGGAGGGAAATAGGGACAGGGCGGGAATATATAAGAAAGAATGAGCCCAAAAATGGAATATGAAATACGAGATCTAAAGCAAGAATGCGACGTCGTCGTTTGCTTCAAGATCGTCGTTTGCTTCAAGATAACACGTAATTCAGTAGAGATGTCTATTTACACATACCAACCGTCAATGGTGGTTGCAGTTTGGTTTGTGGTACTTTTCTAGTTGTTATTTCCTATTAATTTTGTTGAACAAAATAAATTGAATTTAAAATGTTTTAATTTTTTTAATCTAAATGGGAATTTTATTTTATTTTTTTGGGGACTACTTGCAACATTTATTTTCTACTTCGTGATGTGTAATAAAAAAAAAAAAAGGAAAATTTTGTTTATTTAGCGAAGGATCGACAAGAATTTTGCAGTTGATCCCTAGTATGCGTTGACGACAATTATGCTAAAAGATTTAAGATTTATCTCAATGAGTTGACTCGTTTAAGAATATTAACATTGAATTAAACAAGATAACTTGTTTGAAATATAGACACGTAAAATTGCTCATTAGTAGATGAATAACTAGTAATATTACTCGATGGATTTATGGGGATCATATAATTGCATTAATGAATGGGGGACCGACCATAGACAAATGATTGGAATGCCTAATGTTTTTTCATCCGGAGAATTAATTGACATATTAAAAAAAAAAAAACACTTTATGGTCCCAAGAAATTGAGCATCGAATGAATGATACGTTAGTATAGATTTTGGTTTAATTAAGTTTAATCAACGTTCAAGCAACATAAAACTTTGGAAATTATTATTATTATTATTTGAGTACATATTCTCTCTCTCTCTCTCTCTCTCATTTTTTTTTTTTTGTTGAAACATATTTGTAGATGGACTTGGATGTATGCATGGCCCAATAAACAAGCCTGGATGTGTAACTAAGCTTTAGAGGATACATGAAAATTGGAATTTTGTTATATAATGAATGGTAAACTATAATTGCTATTAAATATGTCATTGTATTTGGAAAATTAGGAAGAAGCCTCATGTTTGAATTTTTAGGAAGCATGTTTATCATAATTAAAAAATATATATATATTATGCAATAGGAATACGTTTGGAGACAGAAGTGTAATAGAAAATTAACTGAACTTCATTATTTTTAGTCATACTCCTCATCATCATACGCCACTTCTCTAGTTCATGGCGAGTTTCATACTAGCTACTTGAAGGATCGATTGTATGAATTTATCATTATACTCTAAATTCAAAAAATTTATAGCTTCCTCAAAGTCCAAAACATCGCTGGTATCATCTCTTGTTCTCAAGTAAGAAGGTGTCATATCTTCGACAAATGTGCTCTCGCTGGGGAGTATTGAGTTGAATTTTGTGACAACTTGTAAGCAGAAACTCCTTTTAAGATGGCTAGAATAATTTCTATTTGTAAGATTTTCTTTGAGGAAAATATTAGAAAATTATTTTAGTTCCTTGTATTATACTCTAAATAAAAATATTAAAAACAAGAAAAAGCTTTAGTAAATGGAAAGAATCTTGATTTTCCATTCTTGCTTTGAAAATTCTGGGAAGTAATCAAGTTCCCTACGCACTTCTTCGTATTCTCACACTCGAAAATAGACGGGAAGATTAATGATGGAAAAGATGCCTGAATTGGGAGTTTTAACAATTAATTTGCATGCAAATGTTAATATTATACAGACTGAAAAGATAAAAAGCCTTCTCTTAAGGAAAAACTACGAAATCACAGATTCATAACTTGAATCAATACTATTCGAAGTAAAAGAGACGCATAGGGTAGAAAGAAAGATAAAGATAGTCTGCTAAAGCTATTCATATATAAGGATCAAGAGAAGTTAGAATTCAATCAGAGATTTTCAGGTCTCTTGCTTGGGAAACGCAGACGGAATAATGTCTTGTAATAACCCGTAGTCAGGAATTTGAAGCTGCTCAAATGGTGTTAAATTTTGCTGATACAAACCACTTGTACTTCCAGCAGCTCCATAGTTGTACATGTGAGGGATCTGAAGTAAAAATTCTTGAGGAAATATAGGTCCTTCTTGCATTGACAGTGATGGTGTAAGCATTGAAGGAGACAGCATTCCAGCTACATTTCCTCGGAGAGTGGCCGGAACATGATGATTATGTTGTCCTTCATATGTCGTGATCACGACTGAAGGATCTAGAAATGACCTCTCAACGCGTTTCTTCACCGGGCATTTTTGAGTCGTGCACCGGTAATAGCTCCTGCAATATTGGGATATAAGTTTCTTTCAGTAATCATATTCCATGTTGTTTTAGGCAAGAAAACTAGCCAGAAAGGGAAACAATGATAATTCATGAAATATAGTGACCATATTTAGGTTTTCATTCATCTTAATTCTCCACACCCAGAAACTTCATAATTTTTTCCAGAAAAAAAAATTCTTGCAATTGATAAATTAGAAAATTCTTGGAGTATGATTTATTATTCTTCTCCCCATAATTTTTTTTTAATCCCTTTTTCCCAGTGAAAGACCATAACCCTAAAATTATATTAGGGTCTCACAAATTTGAATCTGAATATGAAACAAATTTTTTTTAATGAAAAACTCTTGTATAAAACCCCTTTCTTGGTGTCAATTGACAGATCATTACATTGCATTTACATTGAAGAAGAAGCAAGTTAGACCGGAAAAAGTTAAATACTAGTAGGTATACATTAAATCTTTAAATTTGACTAGCTAGAAGAGCATTAATACTGCAAGTAGAATCAATTAACTAATAGAACCTTGGATAAGGGCTATTTTTCACAGCCTTCTGTCCATATTTTCTCCATCTATATCCATCTTCTAGATGATCGACCTCGCTCTTTGTCATGAAAGCAAATCGCGGCTGTTTTTCCTTCTTCTCTCCTTTGTTCTTGGTTTTAGTCCTGATATGCATATAACAAGCAAAGTCTAATATAGGTGATGGACAAAAAATTTTATGTTAATGAGATTAGACTCTAGATATAAGGGAGTCGCAATAATAATTCAACTAAACACAAAAGAAATTGTGGGAAATTTTATTCTCGAAATTGGTCATAGAAATGCAATTTATAACCCTACTCTTTCTTGGAGATGTCTTCTCCATCTTCAATTGCTTCTTTCATTGGGTTTTCTCTCTGGTTCTTGCTCGAATTTTCATTGCCAACTGCCTCTGTAGAGGAGTCGGATATTGAAGAATTAGGTGTAGCTGGAGTTTCGCTAACACCCACAAAATCTCGAGTTCCCACTACTATTGATTTCTTCTCATCCTTCACTCTAGAAAATGCCTCAGAAGACGATGTCCTCGACAAACCAAAAGCTCCCGCAAGAGTGTTATTATCATTTGATCCATGCAACATCTCGGTGAAGCTCATGTACGAAGGATCAAGCATTTGTAGATTGTGAAATGAAGAATCTGCTGCAAGGGGAGTATATGCAGAAGAACTGCTGCCGGAGAATGTAAACCCGGCCGTGCCGGAGCCATGCCGATCGTTGTAATATGGCAGGTGGTAGTACAGATCTCTGTGTTCTTCAGCCATGGACGGAGGAGGAGAATCAGTAGAAGAAAAAGAATGATAGGTTTTGACAGGAGCTTTACTAACAAGGTTCTGATTGAGGGTCTACTATTTTTATATTATTTTCATATATATATAATAAACATTGTTGTAAAGCTGGGGACCCCGCAGTATAAATGAAGTTTGACAAATTTTCATAAGGGGATGGTGTCATTTGCCACTAAACCTTTCTTGGATAACATCTTTGCTCTAATTTCTTTGTTGTAAAACATTTGAATTATTCAACTTTGGTAAAATATTACTTTTCCAAAGAAACTATTTTAAGTTTGATGTGGTTTGCCAAAAAGTTCGATCAAATTTGGCATAGTAAAGGGCAAAAGATCTAATTTCAAGTTTTGATGTTACTTGAAAATTATCCATGTTTTATACATGTAATAATAATATATCGACATATACATGTAGAGGTTTGTTGAAGATATAGTTTAAATAAATGAACAGATTGCTAAAAAAGTATCAGCTGATAATTGATATTATAGTTGGGGCAATTTTATCACTGTTCTATTTTGAATACCAGAGGGCACCAAACTCTAAGCTAATACATTCATAAAAAATTCAATGTATTTTAGTAAAATTGGACGAAGTGCAATGTTTTGCATAGGTCGCAAAACTATTCAAAAATCGAGACAACCTAGAATACAATTTCTTTATAAAAATTATAAATTGATTGTATTAATTGACCAAAATCTTTAGTTTAAGCTAAATTACATACCATTTTATAAGAATAAGGTGAAAACTTTAATTAGTTTTTGAAATGAGTGTTTTTGAGGTAAAAGGATGAGTTGTTGGGGAGAGAGGAAAAGTCAGCGATGACTAATGTGGGTTAAGTCACAAAGGTCCTTATTTGAGCAGCAGTCAATGTTTCAAACTTTGGCTACTTGGACGGATTAGCTTTACACGTGTCCCCATTGGCACCGGCTTTTGACCATGACTCGCCACGTGCGAGATTCCCTATGGCTCACCTGCTTCCTCTATAGCTGTCTTCCCTATTGGGCACCAATCTCATTTTCGCTGTCCCCATCAAAATTATTTTCATTTTTTTGGATAAACCGGCAAGCCTGCTCGTCGGGTCGAACTCTGGACAGGCCGAACCGAATCCAATTCAGTTACTCGACGTTTAATTTAAGTGGATGATGCTTGTAAATCTATCGAAATGTGTAAATAAAAATTAATTTAAAATATTCATAAACAATTCATAAACATAAGCCAAAATACAAGCATGATAAACATCTAAACCCGACCAAAATGGTGCATTGGAATTAGATCTCTAAATTGAACATGTTTATGTTTTTTTTCTTAGAAGACTTGATTCAAGGGTTGAGAGTGTACACAAGTTGATGACTGAAATAATATAATTTGAATTGACAATTGAGAGTATGTACAAGTGGGCGATAGAAACAACATAATTCAAAACTAGACAAAATTTGATTTTCCTACATATAAATTCTATACAATACTTAAAATGCATGTTCGTATCTACACTTAATAAAATACTCGAATTGACGATCGATAATATGCACAAGTTGACAATTGAAATATTAGAATTCAAAACAAGACATAATTTGACATGTCGAGAATCTAAATGCTATGCAATGCTTGAAAATGCTTGTACGTATCTACCTCAATAGAGTTGAACTGGTTTTTGTTTCTTTACGCAATCAATATGGGTTTTTGAATTTAACTCGACAGTTTTTAACATTCATATTATCCCACGTATGATATGTACTATACAGCGTTATAAAAATGTCTATAGAGACAAATAATGTGGCCGAAGTTAGGCGAAGTCTTTTAGTCCATTAAGTAACAATGAACGCAACGAATGTTACATATACTATAGATTAGATTTTGAATTGACATTGTACTATTAGTGTGAAACATACCTTTCTCCAATCCTCATTTTGCTTGACACCAATAATGGATTAAACCCATAGTGCTTTCTTGATACTAATTACCAAATATTTGAATAGAAAATAGATTGATTTTAGAAAAAAATAATAATAATAATTATCAACCGAAATTGTTGATTTATCAACTTTCATCAATTAATTTGGTAAAGAATTAGGATCAAATTTAAATTCAAGTTGTCTTTCAACACTTTCAGACAAAGAAGGGAGAATAGAATCGCCAAAGATAATTACAAAAATCAGAAATTGAAAGCAAACAAAAACATACGATTTAACCCTTCTTTGGTGGCGAAAAATATTGCTTTAAATAGTGAAATTCGATAAATCATTTCTTCAGACAGAAGAAGACTATGTAAACACTTACTCGAAATCTCACTTATCAGATTCCATTGTGGAAGACACAATTTTTTCTGAAAAATTCGTCATTACATATAAAATATTTTATTCTGTGAATATATGGTTGAAAATAAGCATATAATAAATAAATAATTTCTGCAAGAATGAAAGACAAACAGATACTTAAAAGTGCTTCGTTCCCGCTACAGAGCTCCAAATTACAATATATTTTTAAACTCACTAATAAGCCCCCTTTTTTTTCCCACTCATCAAAAAAGAACGCCGTCCTAATGTCTCTTTATATATGAAGAAATATTAGAACATTATAACAGATATACAAATTACCAAAAATACACTAAAACGATACAACTTGCCTTAGGAGTCCTGGAGGAAAATGAAAAGTCTAGTATTTTCTCCATTTTTTTTTTGTTTTATTTTTTGAAATCAAATCACGAGAACCCTGCGGGATAACTCAGTGGTTACGTATTGGGTATGCTCTCTACTGATCACCAGTTTGAGTCCCCCCAGAGTCATTGAGGTGAGTACTTGATTGTAAACTTCAGAGTCTCGTGGAATTAGTCGAAGTGTGCATAAATTAGTCCGGATATCCACGGTCATTAAAAAAAAAAAAGGTCAAATAGTCACGAGATTATTTTATTCGTAAAAAATAGAATACAAATTTATGGAAGGAGCATGTGACCTGACCTAACAAGATTGGACAACTTAGAATAGTAAAGAGAAATGAACTAGTCTTAGATATTGTATTATACCCTCGTTTTGTCAATAGAATGGCTCTAATGGTTTTATTAATCAATAATTTATGCCCTTATTCATAATTATTGGTTCATTTTAGTCTGGTCATATTACATGACTTTATTTCTACTTTATGGAGTTGCTAAGCAACAAAATTAGGCATCAAATCACCAATGAATGGGCTTTGCTTGCTGAGTTTTAGAAAGATTAAATCAAATGTCACATACACTAATTGGCAATCGCCAAATTCAGATAACGTGCCAAACATATTTTTCAATGGTATCTATCAATATTTTTTTTAAAACTAAAATCATATCCCTACTTTTGAAACATGGGAAAACAAATTAAAAACTAGAATAAACATACAAGCACGCAGGTTGACGTCGAATTGATAATTCAAAATTTGTCAAAAACACTAACATTACATTAGTATATGAGGAAGCTCAATCGCAACAATTAGGGCCGTCTGAGACAAATAGGACATGACATTTTCACTGGAAAGTTGATCCAAGGTTGTGAGTCTGTTCGAGCTAGAAGACTCCACACAAATGCCTAAAATGATTTATATACGTTAAAAGGTATAATTCCACATCGATTAATTATAAAAATATCAATCAATGTATAAGGATTTAAGCTACTTTTTTTAACGAGATTGACATTTTAAGATGAAATCTCAAATCTTAATAAAATATACATTTCTACTGAGAGGTGCAACTTGTTAGATGAAGACAATATCAGGACAATAGGAAAAATGAAAATTTTGAGAATCATGAAAATAATAGAAATTCATTTTGATTTTAAAAATGTAGCACAAATTATACTCTTGCACGTCATGAATGTCATTAAAAATATGATTTTTTTCATTTTTTATTTTTTTACTTGTAAGTTCTAATATAAAAAATATAGATTTAGGTAAATTATATTATATTCAATTTCAGGATTAGGTAAATCCGTATTTATATTAAAATACAATATCCTTATGTTTTAAATTAATTAATAATCGTGTTGTTAAATTCTTACTTTATTAATTTTTTTTTTACATTTTTAGTATTTGAAATTACATGAAAAATATTTTAAATTAGAACCGGAATATTGACCTTTTGAAGACACTAAAAAACATATTCTAACTGGAGCAGTACAAAGTCAAAAATTTAAATTATAAATATTGAGAGAAATCTTATCAAATTATTAAAGCTTTTTAGATTATTTTATTATTCCAATTTTACTTACTTCGATAGTATCACTCATCCAACTTTTCTCGAAAAAAAAAAAGGAAAAAAGAAAAAACAACTTTATGCAATTATTAAACAGGTAAAAAATATTTTCTTGCTTATAAGTCAAATAATTGCTTTTGATGGTACGGGATACATTAAGATACTGAATAATACACGTAACAGGATTGGACTTTTGAATGTTTACAGAATAAAGAAATAGCATGAGATTGTTGACTCAGTACAATTGGGTCCATTAACATGTGACATAAAATTATGGTATTTTGGCATTGTTATTGGAAGTTTTATCAATCGGGCAGGTTATCGGTTAGGTGCGTATGCTGAAAAAATTTAAAGAATCTTTAGATGTTGACATTTTTTTTTTTTTAAATTACAAGATAATTCCGAATTAATAAAAAATAGTGTATATTATTTAAAAAGGCCCTTTCCAATTTATTATATCATATGATGCAAAATAGACGTATGCTATAAAGGTAGGCACACAAAGACCAAAAAAAGACTGGTTCAAAGGTTTCAATTTAGCAATTTGTTAGTTGCCTTTGACATCATTACAATTTTTGTGGATTGGACTAAGGAAATCATGTCACTCGATCATTACTAAGTGCTTGTTTGGCAGAAATTTTGATAATTGATTTTTTAACCGTTAAAAATAAAGTGAATCCTATCTGTAAAAGAATAATTCAAAAATGACGGTTGAAATAGTGAAATAACTGTAAAAAAATTGATTTTAATTGACTTTTAAGCTGTACCAAACAAGCCTAAACAAGAATAAAATATATATAACGCAACATCGTCCTAAAATTACTAGCAATGGAATTCAAAAAGCACAAAAT